TTAGTATAAGCGATTTTATCAACTACTAAATAATTTGTTAATATAGAAAGTCCATAAATACTCGGCATAAAATTAGCACAAGAGCAAGACTCAACATAGTAACATATCGAAGCCTAATTTTTGAGAAGAGTAAATTATAATTTTAGTGATTATGTATGTTTCACTACTTTAACTTTTTTCGTCCTTTTCGAATTGCGTTTTTGATTTTCGTCCCGTACGTTTAAAAAAAAGGTTACACAAAGGTCATTTTCATACATAAGAGACGAAATTAGAACACCTTTTTGCAAAACATAAAAGACCTTTTTGTTGCGAAAATGACTTTTTTGCAACATTTCTTCAAACATACGAGACGAAAAAAAAAACACAATTAAAAAAAGACGAAAAAATTAAAATAGTGAAACAAGCAAGACTAAAATTGTAATTTACTCTTTACGAGAATAAACATATAGCAGAGGCATATACTTGACACATAGGCTCGGAAAATTCTGTATTTATATTAGGAGGATTTGCCACATAGATCATGTCTTAACTCTTAACTTCAAATATCTACATCGACACTACAATTTTCGAACATCCTTGCCTTACCATGTTATGTTATAAACTTATGGTTCGATACAATTCTTTGCTCAATTAATTCTCCTGTGATAACATAAGAATCCATTTTGAAAGCTGTAAAACAAAATATTATCACAAGAAATTTGGAACATGTTAAAATGCTAATATAATTTCATAAATAATAGCAGCAATTAATTTTGACTTCTGTTCTAATCTGCCTTGTGAAAATACAGAATAGAGACATAGTTCCCACATCGAAAAGGAACACCTCAGACTGCAGAATGTCCAGTATAAATGGCCACAGAAACATTGTGTAGTGGCACGCAGCTGCGTGGTGAGCACATAGCGAACTATTCTTTCGCCTTTTACTAAAGAATACCGTGTGCTCTCCACACTTCAAGCAGCATACGCCCATTTTTGGAGGGGATTCACTTCCTTTTGGTAAGTGGCCCTACAATTTTAGTGAAATTTTTGAATAATGTGACCTTTATTTACAAGTGTTTCAAAACAAACAAATTTAGAGAAATTAAATTAAGTTAGTTTGTAACAAATGAAAGTACTTATCTCATGATTAATTTACAGATGGAAATTTGGAAATTTGTAATTAGTAAATTTTGAGACCATTCTTACAATTCAAACTTTTTACAATTCAAACTGTAAACTGTCTTGTCTTTAACAGATTAATATCTGCAGTATGTAGGTCACTTGAGTCGAGGAGACGTCGGAGCTGATAATATATTGGCCCTAAATAAATCATATTTCATATATATGATTTATTTACTTATTACGTGCACAAACTAATAGCATTTCATGCTCAAATTTTATACATGTCCCTAATGTCACAAGGCATCTAGTTTAGCTTTCGATTAATTGATGAGCTCAAAACTAAGCGAACATATTTTTTAGGTATCCAGGGAAAAAGCAATTTGCTTTAGTTTTTTGATATTTTGGCACCATTTATGCATTACTACTTTTTGTATTCGCACCTATGCACACACTGCTCTTTTTAGGAATCGAGAGAAAAAACAATTTGCTTTAGTTTTTTGCTTTTTTGGCACCATTTATGCATCACTCTCTTTGTATTCGCACCCATGCACA